AGACAACCTCTCGTCAATATGCGTTTTTCGCATTGCATTGCTGCAAAAAACGCATAAAAATATTTGAAAATACTCCTTTTTCACTGCAAAAGTTGCAAAAAAATCGACCAAAATGCATTAACATCTTAATTTTTGGAATTCATACTTGAATTCTAGCAGTTTTTTACCTTTTCCCGTCCTCCTTCGCCCCTCATCATTTTTAAAGAACAGTGCACTATAAAAATTAACTGCTCAGGAAATTTCAAATACAAATAGATTTAAAAAAGGCTCTTGTTCACATAACGCAAATTTTAGGAAAAAACGAAACTGGCGCGTGAAAGAAATTAAAAAGTCAGAAAACTGCAACAAAAAAAAAAAATGGTAGAAAAGCTGGGATGAGTAAAATCGCACCAAATTTCTTCCTTTTCTAAATTTTCCATATTTTACATACCAGAAACTGCTACTAGCCAATCATGGAAGAGAACTAACTGTGTGCAATTACTGTGTCCAATTTCACATACCGTAACTGTCCTTTACCGTAACTGTTTTTAACCGTAACTGCTGTTTACCGTAACTGTTTATTCTGACTTACCGTAACTGTTTATCCTGAAAGCTCCGCGGTGTTCCACCCGTAGAAAGACCAGCAACACGTGAGCGTGTTAAAATTTTTTTGCCAGTAGTTTGATTTTCGCTGTCCTGAGAAGCACCAAATAAACGTGTACTACGCCGTGTTTCTACACCTTCCTCCAAACGTCGCCTGGATATGTTGCCAGTTTCGACATTACGTCTTGTTGCTACACCCTACAAGCAAAAGTCACGTCTTACACGGAATAATGATGAAAGAAGATTAAATACTAAGTGATGCGGAATAATTGATAAAGTAGCTCATCGTGGTTTAAAAAGGAAATCGTTCGGGACACAGCTTAACGAGCGCGCCAAATATATCCTGAAGCCGCTAAAATCTCGCCAAGATTTAAGCTAATGTCAATGAGTCAAGGCCGGGACGAATGTCGGGATCGCCAGAAGGCCGAAGAGCGTACTGCCCAAGGCTTTTGGGAAGATGAATCAATTGGCCAGTGCACCAATGACAGTGCGAAGATGCGTCTTTTGCACAGTTCCCCGCAGGCCTTTGTCGCTAACGGCACTGTTTTTTTCGGTAAATGCTTCTAGCTAGAAGAAATGAGACTGGCCGTCAGGACTGTCAGATAGCGTCCTCTTAAAATTTCAACTTTCTAGCTTTTCTGGCTCTCGAGTTCGCAAATTACCCGCAAAAAATTTTCACATTCTCGTACATGAGAACCATGCAAACCCGCGGGCTGGATTTAAACTCATCAAATCCTACTCAAACAACCTCCTTAAAATTTCGGCTTCTCAGGTTCTCGAGCTAGCAGGTTACCCGCCAAAAGCTTTCACGGAATCGTAGGTTGAAAACACGCCGACAACAATGTTCATTTTGGGAATAGGGGCCCATACGCATGTAGATTAAGTTGCCAAAGTTTCAGCCTTGCAGCTTTTCCGG